AAGAGAGGTAGAAAAAGTCTCTTCATCCACTTTCTTTAGGGTCCGATCCTTTACAAACAAAATCTTACAACAGAAGAGTGCTACACTTCTACCAAACATGCTGCGGCTCCCTGAATTCACAGCCGGGATGGAGCGATTCACCTTTTCAGATGGGGAATTTGCACAAAAGCAGGGGATTGACATGGAACAGCCCGGTGATGGGGGTCCGCAAAAAGACCCTTGGCCTCTGGGGAACCCGAGTGGCTAGATGAGGTCCCCAGCACAGCCACTGGTTGTGAACATCTGCACCTGGGCAGGAAGGCCTACTGAGCGTGAAACATTCAGGGAGAATGAAGCTGCACATGGGAAGAGGGCCTTGGCATTATGATAGACCTCATGCCGAGCATGAGCTGCCCAGAGAACCACAGATGTGGGGCTGGACGGGAAACAAATAAACAGAAACGTAACAGTGTGATGTGGCTACAAGAAACCCCAAATGCTGTTTCGAGCTGGATAAATAGGGGTATTGTTTCAAAACCAGGGGAGGGACTGCTTCCCCGGTGTTCAGCACTAGATGGGCGCCTTCTGGAGGACCGTGCCCAGTTCTGGGCTGCACCATTTAAGAGAGATGCAGACCAACCGGTGAAGCGTCAGAGGAGAGGAACAAAGATGCTCCAGGGACTGGAAACAAGGTCCTGCGTGGAGAGAGTGAAGGAACTGGGTGAGTTTAGCCTTGAGAAGAGATGACTGAGGGATATAAGATAGCACTTTTCAAGTACTCGAAAGGGGGTCACCCAGAGGAAGGAGAGGATCGTCCCAGAGTGCAGGATGCAGAACAACGGGCTCAAGTTGCAGGAAGCCAGGCTCTGGCTGGCGTCAGGAAGGACTGCCTGACTGTCAAAGCAGCGCGAGAATGAAACCAATGGCCTGGGAGGACAGCCCTCTGTCCAGCACGCTTCTGCCTGTGCCCCTGCTTGGGGCCCTGCCAACGCTGATTCTGTGTGCAGAGTGCTCTTTCTGGTGCTGCAGCTTCTGCAAGTCTGTGGCATGAAGGGTGGGATTCTTGGGGAGGGGACAGGGGGCAGGCAGTGCTGCAATACTGCGCCACGACGTTTCCCATGCCCATTCTGAGCACGCCTATCCAGAGAGCAGGGCGCACGAGGGCATGGAAGCCCTCTGCCCGCCGGTCTGGGCCGCACTGCAGGAAAAGTTTGCTTAAAACAGGTCAAGAGGCTGAGCACGGGCAAGGAAACAGTCCGGGAGGGATCGGCTGCCTCCACAGCAAACTCTCGGCTGCCTCTGTGGCAGAGCCAGCATCCCCGAGTCGTGGGAGGGCATGTCCCACGACATCGGAGCTCTCGGGCCTGATGTGCACCTACCGGGCACACACAGCTGGTGGAGAGCTCAGGGCTGCTTCAGAGGAGGGTGGCGGTGATAGGTCGGATGGGGGACAAGCCCTGCCAGGGAAGGGAGAGGGCTGGGTACGTTGAGCTGAAGCACAAGGGTGCCCTCGAGCCCCAGGGGGCACCATGCTGAAGAGGACCAGTCTATGCCCCAGCAGGCAGGGCAGATTGAAGTGACAGGAGGCCAGGCTTGGCTTGGGCGTTAGGAGGAGTCTTGACCAGGGAGGAGCTTGGCCACAGAGCAGGAGCCTTAGAGGGCTGAGCACCCAGCAGCCTTCCAGCCGGGTGGACAGCCTTCGGCAGGCCCTGACGTCCCTGTGTCCAAGCTTCCCTCCAGCCCTTCGCCTCCGGGATTCTTCAGGGTTGCAGCTCTTTCCTTCCATCAGTGTCTGCCCACCTCCCGACTGAGTCTGTGGGCATTTGCCTTGGTGGTCTGGCTGCCCTAAAGCAAAAGCGGCAAGCGGGGCAGGACACACCTCATCCCACCAGCCTCCGCGCCCCAGCCATTTCCTGCCCTGCACAACTGAAGGATGGCTTGGGCCACCGATTGCGGGACCATAAGCAGCCATTACACAGTTGTTTGCTGTCAAATGTGTTTTACAGACTGGCCTTCCACATGTTGGGGATTACATGAGCAGAGCCAGCCTGGGTCAGACTAGATGGCCTGGGAGGTCCCCTTCTGACTCGCTTGGTTGCTAGCTGCTGTGTTTCCTCCCATGTCGATCCACTGGTTTGCATCTTCTCTCTGCACCGCCCCAGAAGCTGTCACTGACCATGGAGGGGACGGGGGGAACAAGACACCCAGAATGTTACCAAGGATGGGCTGTGCGGTATTTTGGAGACAGAAGGAGGAAACAAGCCATAGCCGTTTCCACCCCTCTGGACAGCTTTCAAAGGGGACTGGACAAATTCAGGTGGAAAGAGAGGCTCCCTGCTCTCTCCAGCATCAGAGGCAGTGTGCCCGTGGCATTCACTTGCTAGGGAACATGGGTCTCAAGGTGTTGTTGACTCACACCTGACTTGTGGGTTTCCCGTCGGCAGGTGGCTGGCCGGCTGGCTGGCCCCTGTGGGAACAGGATGCTGGACAAGATGGACCATGGCCTGATCCAGCAGGGCTCTTCTTGTGCGCTGAATTGAAGGAATTGACTAGTCCTCATGGCTCCATGCTACCTCCAGCATTAGTGTAAGGTTCATAGGCCATTGTCATACCTGTAAGTATTCCTTTTCCAGGCATGTCCCATTGAATATTTCTGTTCAAAGCTTCTCTGAACTCTTCATTACTCTAGTCACCATCCTAAACGATCGAGGGACTGACAGTTTCTCCAGGTCAGGAGAGAGTTTGGAAGAAGACACCTCAAGGCAGGATGCCAGCAGGTTCTTGAAGGACTTGCTCCAGGGCCTTCCGCTCTCTTGCCATCCAGTAATTCCAGCGCAAGGCACGGCTCACACTGGGATCTTCTTGGCTGAAGCCGGGTGCCACGCCTGTGGGCGATGGCATTGGATCACCATTTGGTCTTTGCCGCTCGGGCCACCTTAGATGGCTAACATACAAAGATGGGCATATTCCCTGAAGGAGCGCTTACATCCAACCTGAAGGAGCGCTTACATCCATATTTGCCCAGTCGCCCCCTGAGATCGGCGGGAGAGGCCCTGCTCCGGGAGCCCTCCGTGAGAGAAATTAGGAGGGAGGCTACCCGGAGAAGGGCTTTCTCAGCGGTGGCGCCTAAGTTATGGAATGCGCTCCCCAGAGAGGTCCGCCTGGCGCCGTCGTTATTTGCTTTTCGGCGCCAGGCTAAGACCTTTTAAATAAAAAGGTCTTAAAAAAATGGTCTTTAAAAAGGTCTTTAAAAAAAAAAAAATGCTAAATACAATTGAATTTTATCAGGCCAGGGCGGCTTATTTTATTTTATAATGTGTGTTTTAATTAAGATTATTGTATATGGATATTTTAACTTACTGTTTTACCTATGTTGTAAGCCGCCCCGAGGCTTCGGCGAATGGGGCGGCATAAAAATGTTTTAATAAATAAATAAATAAATAAATAAATAAATAAATAAATAATGCACAGGGTGCTGAGGGTGGCCTGAGGGACCAGGCAGGGTTCTGGAGCCCCTCCGGTTTCTCGGACGGGCTGGTGCATTCAGAGGGCAGGAGCAGTTTCAGGGCACTATCCGTGCAGGCTTTGTTTATTTATTTATTTATTTATTTATTTATTTATTAATTAAAACATTTTTATGCCGCCCCATTCGCCGAAGCCTCGGGGCGGCTCACATCAATTGTTCACGTTGTCCCCAAAGCATGGAAGTCAAAGACGCTTGTGACCCGATCATTTGCAAATTGTAGCACCTCCTGTGAAACAGATAGCATTTTAGGCACACATCCCGAACATTTTACTGGGCCATCAAGATCACAGATCACAGAGCGCACAAGCAAGACCTGGGGATCTGTGCTTGAAGCACCTCTGATGTTTCACATTAAGGAACTCCACCATCAAGCCATGTCTTTACTTAAAGGAGCCCCTTATTCAGAACCATGTGGACTAGAATATTTTTATTTATGAAAATACTACAACAGCCATGAGCACATTCCCCAGTTCAGTCCCTGATACACCCAGGTAGGGCTGCAAAAAAACCTCTCAGCCGCAAAGAGTGCAGGAAAATGCCAAGTTTCCTACCCTCAGGCCATGTTGCCCATGGCTGGCCAGAGATGGTGTCTTAAACATGTAAACGCATATGGCCCAGGATGTCAAGACACTGACTCAAAAGAGATGGGCTTCATGTGAGGCAAGTCCTGTTTTTAAAAACCTGTTTTGTTCCAGAACCACGAGGACAAGATGCTCGCTTGAATGTTAGGGGAAGGGTCACAGCTCGGGGCAGAACACCTCCTCTGCGTGCCGAAAGCCCTGGGTTCGGCCCCTAGCATCTCCAGAGGGCTGCGAAAGGGGCCCTTGCAGAGATCCCGCCGGGAGTGTGGATCGTTCTGACCTGAGTAGACCAGTGCTGACTCCATAGGAAGCCCCTGCCAGCTTTCCCTTGCACTTGGAGAGGCTGGACCTGGGCAGTTGGGCCTGAACTGGAGAACAATGCGGGTGTTTTTTCATGCACGCACTGGGGAAGGTGGCGGGGAGACGGCTGCGTATGGTACACCTTACTGCCGAATCCCAGGCTTGGGGGGCTGTTGATTTCTCTTGGCCTCGGGCATGTGGGGTCTGGCCAGGTGGCATGTCCTCCTGGCTCCTAAGCCCCAACCCCACTGAATCCGGGCCTGCAAATGGCCCCCTGCGTCCCGCATGAGTGGCCCATTAGCCTCCCGCAGGGTGCAAGTTATTCGCCTGACCAGCTGCCCCACGGAATCCACTTTGGGGCATTGCCTTCCTGCCAGCCCCCAGCTCATCTCCCCCAGACCCTTTCTGGAAGATGGAGCAGGCAACAAATCCCCCCCCAAAGCTTGTGTACTGGGCCTTTCGCACCTTGTTAGCGCTGCATCCTTTCCATGGCCTCCTTGCCGCCTTTCCTGGTGGAGCATTAGCATCCGGGCCGCACCGTGTGGGTATAAAGGGCCCCGGCCGCATCGGGAGGGCACGGCCGCCGCCGCGCTGAAGAACTGCAGGAGGCCGCCATGGTCTGCTCCCAGCACCTTCTGCTCTTGTTCCTGCTTGCTTGGCAGCCGGTTTGCCAGGCCGGACCCCCCCGTGGCCAGTGGGGCAGCTCTGGAGACACTCGGGCCCGGGCCCTGAAGAAGCTGCTGGAGGTCTTTGGCATGGAAGACCCCCCTCCGTTGCCGCAGCACGTCAAGCAGCCCCCGCAGTACATGGTGGATCTCTATCGCGCGGTAGCCGGTGACGACGGGGTCACAAAGGACCCCGATGCCCTGGAGGGAAACACAGTGCGCAGCTTCTTGGATAAAAGTAAGTTCCCGGGAGGACGGGGCGAGGTGCTTTGCTGCGTGGGGAGCACTGGCAGGGCCCAGACCTCAAATTTGCCAGCGGAGCCCCAGGCGCTATGCAACGCCCGAGGGGAAGGGCTCCTCCGGGCTGCCAGCTTGTGGTGCAGCTGAGACCTCCGCCAAGCGGCCACCGGCAAGCAGCCATCCCGTCCAACCTTCCCCCCCACCTCTCCCTTCTCCCCCTCTGGTCTGTGGCCGTGCTTCGGGGGCCCAGCGCAGAGGATGCTGCCTTTTCATAAAGCGGGAGTCTCCCCAAGGACCAAACGTCATTTGCTCGAGCCTGCTTTTTCTACTGTTTATTTCTATCTGGCCGGTTTTCCTTTCAAGGAGCTTAAGGCGGCTTAGCCAGTTCTCCTCCTCGCAGTCTTATCCTCACAATGACCCTGTGAGGTAGGCTGAGCCGAGAGTCGGTGACCGGCCCAAAGTCACCCAGAGAGCTCTGGAGCTCGGTGGGGCTGGAACCCAGATCTCCCTAGTCCCAGTTCAAGCACAGCACTCTTAACCGCCATGCCACACCGGCTCTCTTCACTTATGATGCCTGCAGCCAGCACACACACACACACACACACACACACACACACACACACACAATCCCTTGCTGGGTCAGAGGACACCCACAGCACGGAGGGGGATGCTGCAATGAGGAACCCTGCCCTGAGCAGGGACTGGACCCTCCGGCCCCTTCCAGCTCTACCGTCTTACGATCCCAGGTGCTGCGTGATCCCCCAGAAATCAGCCAGTGAACGCTCCTCTGCCTCCCTCTCCCTGCCGCTTTTATGTCTTTCTTAGAGAGGAAGGCCAATGCCACCCCTCTCCCCTCTCTACCTGCCTGTGTCTCTCCAACCCCCTTCCCTCCTCTCTTTCCGTCTCCTGCCTCAGCACTTCCTTCGGGGTGGCTTTCCTCCTTCCCCACTTCTGCAGCCTGAGCGGATGCCCAGCCAGGCCTGGGTCCCAGGTAGCCCTAGCCTTGAGCATCACAGCGGTCCTCTGGACCTACACCAGAGCCGCACGAAGCTTCGGGGGGCAAGCAGGGCCGTGTGCGGGCCGGGCCGGGCCGCCTCGAGGGGAAAGGAGTCCACTGCGAGTGGGGGCGCTGGGCACCCCCTCTGAAGGCGATTGTGTGCGAGGAGAGCCCGGTCTGGCCATGTGGCACAAAGCTCCCGCTCAGCTGCGCATCTGGCACCCGCTGTTCCCGAGGCGGCTTCGCAAGGGCGGTGCTAGCTGCCTTTCCGCACCCGCATAATTGTCCTGTGCCAACGTTCGCATGCCACCCAGAAAGCATTTGCTGCTGGGCGAAGCACAAATCCCTCTTCTCAGGTCATTGCGCGACTGCATGTGAGAGACACACCACTTGCCTGGGTTTCCCCGCTGGAGTGCCCCGCGGGGGTAGCGGTGTGGGGGGGGATCTGCGCCCAGGCCAGGCGGGGCTGCGCAGCGCCCCCCCGCTAACGTCCCCGCGCGCTTTCCGCTGCAGCCCATGGTGTGCGGATGCGCCTCCTCTTCATCCTCTCCAGTGTGGCGAAGCACGAGCGGGTGCTGACGGCGGAATTGCACCTCTTCAAGCTGCGGGCCCGGCTGGCTGACGGGCAGCTCCCCCAGCGACAGCACTTCTGCCAGGTGAGCTCCCCCTCTGCTTGTGCTCAGAAGTACTCTTGCTCTTCCACGCGAAAAGGGGGCGCCGTTTCAAAGAGAGCTCCACAGAGCCCACAGCTGCCAGGAGGGGCCCGAACTTTCCAAAGGCTCTTTCTTAAATTGCCTCGCTTGACGCTCACCTGGTGATAGGTTGTCCTGCCTGTGCCACTCATTGTGTGTGTGTGTGTGTGTGTGTGTGACAGTAGCAAGTGAAAAATGCTCAGAGGAACCCTTCTTTCTGATACCCATGGATGTGCTCTCTTACTCACGTGCTCACATGTACAGAGGGCTTCCTTGTGGTTTTGAATGAAAATACTCCAACGCCAGCACCTATTTCAAGTCAAAGCCCTCCTGAACTAAATGAATTAATGAACTGAACTGAACCGAACCGAACTGGCTGGGTGGGGATGCAAGACCCACAACCCCCCAAAAGTACGAAAGGACAAAACAACCCTCCAAAAAAACTAGAAAGGGGCTTGTGCCAATTTAGATACGCCTCTTTAAAGGGGCTGTCGCCTAAGGACACCCCATTTGTAAATAAGGGTTGTAGGGCATTTGATTTCAGGCAGAAGGATTCAAGCGGACAGAGTGGGAAGTGTGTGTGGGGAAAAGCTTGCTAATCCGGGGGCTCCAGCACAAGAGAGATATTTGGGGGCCCAGATCTTTCTCTCAGCAAGTACCCCTGGAGGGGGTTGATGCATGGAGAGACAGACGTGGGCGTCCAGCCCTATTGGCAAGCCACTCACCCTCTGCCTCTGTCAAAGGCTAGTGAGTTTCTTTATTAATTTAACAGCATTTATGAATTGGTAACCCTACAAAAACCCCCAAGTGTTCTATGAAACAAACTTGAGGCCAGGTTTTCTTGCTCCTCTGCCATCCCTAGAAAAATAGTGAGTGTGCACAAAGTGTTTTGCTCCTACACAATGGAGCTGGGAGCTGGGGAGTGTACCGGGGGCTCCCAACTGGACACGGACTCGTTCTCTAATTGAAGTTTTGCACTCTGGAGATCCCTGGGCATTGTGAGGAAGGCATCCAGCTGGGACTCTGGCGATCCAGGCTCAGTCACAAAGCCCACCGGGGGTCATCTGGCCAGTCCCTTTAGCCACCCTCACAGGGTTGTTGTTATGAGGATTGTGGCTGGGCGGGGGGGGGGGAACTGTGGAAGCGGTTGTGGATTCCTTGCAAAAGGAAGAAAGGCAAGAACAAGCTGTGAGTGCAAGGCAGATTGTTCCTGCAAGTGACACCATCTTGATGCATCTCCTCCTCCCTCCGTTCCACCCCTCCTCAGGTAAACATCTATCAGGTCTTGGACAAGGAGAACGTGGACTCCCCAGGTGGGAAGAAGCTGCTCTCAGCCCGGCTCCTGGCTCTGCAGGCCACCGGCTGGGAGGTCTTCACCATCACGCAAGCGGTGAGCACCTCTTGTCTGAAGCCCCTTTCGCCCCAAGGGCCAAATTCCATTTTGGAGGTGGTGTTGGGGGGCCCATTCCAGTGTTGGGGTATCCCAAGGGCAAGAGGGACGTGCCCCAAATGCTTTAGGGAATATTAGCTTTTTTGCAATATTGGCCTATTGGAGAGAGTAGCTGCATGTCAACCATTTAGGACTGGGGGGGCGGGGGGTGTACACAAAAAACAGAGAGATGCTGCAGTAGGGGGGGGGGTGCTGGGGGTCCATCTTGAACACCAAGAGGTCCCGATTGCCCAAGGCTCTGTATCCCTGCTCTAGGGAATCCCCAGATTTGGGGGTCTCGAGAAAGAATTTCCTAGTATTCGACTTGCTGCTCTGCTTTTGACAATCCTGTGCAAAACTGTAGTTTTACTTTCTCTGTTGTGTATTTATTTATTTATTTATTTATTTATTTATATTATTTATTTATTAAAACATTTTTATGCCGCCCCATTCGCCGAAGCCTCGGGGCGGCTTACAACAAAAAATCAAAATAACATTTTAAAATATATACAATAAAATACAAATATATAATATAAACATACACTATAAAACAAGCCGCCCTGGCCAAATAAAATTCAATAATATTAACATTTAAAATACTGCTTAAATAAAAAGGTCTTCGCCTGGCGCCGAAAAACAAATAACGACGGCGCCAGGCGGACCTCTCTGGGGAGCGCATTCCATAACTTAGGCGCCACCGCTGAGAAAGCCCTTCTCTGAGTAGCCACCCTCCTAACTTCTTCCATGGAGGGCTCCCGGAGAAGGGCCTCTCCCGCCGATCTCAGGGGGCGGCTGGGCATATAAGGATGTAAGCGCTCCTTCAGGTAACCAGGACCCAAGCCATTTAGGGCTTTATAGGTCATCACCAACACCTTGAATTGGGCCCGGACTTCAGTGGGAAGCCAGTGAAGCTGACGGAGAACTGGAGTCATGTGAACATAACGTCCAGTCCCCGTCAGCAGCCTGGCAGCTCTATTTTGCACCAATTGAAGTATCCGGACCGTCTTCAAGGGCAGCCCCACGTAGAGCGCGTTACAGAAGTCCAGACGGGAAGTCACCAACGCATGTGTCACTGTCGCAAGGCAGTCATTCTCCAGGTAGGGGCGCAGCTGATGAATCAGCCAAAGCTGGAGGAAAGCGCTCCTCGCCACCGCTGTCACCTGAGCTTCCAGGGAAAGCTCCGGGTCGAGGAGCACTCCCAAGCTGCGGACCTTGTCCCTAAGAGGGAGTGCAACCCCGTTCAGGACAAGGTTCAATTCGCCCTCTCCGAAGCCCGGAGTGTATGACTTGGTTTACTCACGCGAGCTGCTCACCTGCCCTCAACGCCCTGTCGCGATTGGCAGGCAAACATTGACTGCTTGGTGTGGCATCGCAGGTCCGTGACTGGGTAGGAGAGGAAAACAGCAACCAGGGCCTGCTGGTGACCACGGTGGGGCTTGGTGGGGCGCCTGTGGACTCCAGCACTGTGCTGTTCGCTTCGGGCCGGGACCATCACGAGAGCAAGACGCCGATGCTGGTTTTGTTCACCGACGATGCGCACAGAGGAGCCGTGCCGCCCACCAGCCCCTTCTTAGGTAAGGAAGCGAGGCGGCGCTTTGCCGAGCGATGCGGAGAGGCGCAGAACGGCCGGGGTGGCTCAGTTAGACCCCTATGCCCGATCACTCGGTTCCTCTTTGGAACTTCAGGCAGTGAGCATCAGCGTGTTTATTTTATTTATTTATTTATTAAAACATTTTTATGCCGCCCCATTCGCCGAAGCCTCGGGGCGGCTTACAGCAATAAATTAAAAATAATTATAACATTAAATTAAAAAATATAAACATTAAGTTAAAAATACAAAAATACCAATATAAAATAAGCCACCCTGGCCAGATAAAATCCAATAATATTAACAATTAAAATGCCGCTTAAATAAAAAGGTCTTCGCCTGGCGCCGAAAAACAAATAACGACGGCGCCAGGCGGACCTCTCTGGGGAGCACATTCCATAACTTAGGCGCCACCGCAGAGAAAGCCCTCCTCCGAATACCTATCCTCCTAATTTCCTTCACGGAGAGTTCCCGGAGAAGGGCCTCTCCCGCTGATCTCAGGGGGCGGGCGGGCATATATGGATGTAAGCGCTCCTTCAGGTAGCCAGGACCCAAGCCGTTTAGGGCTTTATAGGTCATCACCAACACCTTGAATTGGGCCTGGACTTCAATGGGAAGCCAGTGAAGCTGACGGAGGACTGGAGTCATGTGAACATAACGTCCAGTCCCCGTCAGCAGCCTGGCAGCTCTATTCTGAACCAACTGAAGTATCCGGACCGTCTTCAAGGGTAGCCCCACGTAGAGCGCGTTGCAGAAGTCAAGACGGGAAGTCACCAGCGCATGTGTCACTGTCGCGAGGCAGTCGTACTCCAGGTAGGGGCGCAGCTGATGAATCAGCCGAAGCTGAAAGAAGGTGCTCCTCGCCGCTATTGTCACCTGACACCTGTTCCATGAACCGGAAGTAAAGACGTGCTGTGAGAAAAACATGCCTTTGTTCCCTGTAACATATTGCATTATTATTTTCATTATAAACTTCCTCATTGGCATTCACTCCTGAATGGCTATGTGTCGCTGCAGAAACTTCACACTTTTAAAAACAGCCCGGTTCCCCAGCCAGGCTCTGCAGAATTCACAGAGAGGTTGCCACTCTGTTCCTAATGATTTACATGCAAAAGATTGATCCAGCGTGCTGGTTGGGGCAGATGGGAGTTGTAGTCCAGCAGCTGTGGCAGGCACCAGGCTGGGGAAGACTGAAATGTGTACCGCTTCACATTTGTGTGGTGCTTCTTCTCTGAAATCACCAGACAAAGGTGCAGCTGGGTACAAAACCTCACCTCTGAACATGCAGTTTCTGGGCTGACGTTTTGGGTTTGCCGGCGCATTTGTCGTTTCCAAAAGCAGAGGAGACAGATTGGCCAGCAGGCTTCAACCCATGGGAAGCCCTTCTGCTCTGCCCCAGAAGCCCTGAGCCGGGCATGATCTCGCCATTGGCGAAAGATCGCTTTTTTTAGCAAGCTCACAATCTTTCGTTACCTGCCTCTGCCTGCTTGCAAAGCGTGTTTCAATCATCCTTGCCGAAATCTGATCTCTCTCTTTCCTTCCTGGCCAAATGCAGCCTCTCCAGAGCCCCTGGCGGGCCTCAGATCCAACGGGACACGCACCCCTCGCTCGGTGGGCACCCCCTTGCCCTGCCAGAAGCACCCCCTCTTGGTGGACTTCGAGGAAATCGGCTGGGCTGGCTGGATCATCTCTCCCCGCGGCTACAATGCCTTCAACTGCAGGGGCTCCTGCCCCTTCCCGCTGGGGGAGAATATGCGGCCCACCAACCACGCCACTGTCCAGTCCATCATCAACGCCCTGAAGCTCAGCCAGGAGGTGTCCAGCCCCTGCTGTGTGCCGGATAAGCTGTTCTCCATCAACCTCTTATACTTCGACGACGATGAGAACGTGGTGCTCAAGCAGTATGCCGACATGGTGGCCGGCAGCTGCGGCTGCCACTGAGCCTGGCACAGGCACAGCCATCGCCGGGGAGCCCTCGCCGAAGTCTCCAGCCAGGCCAGAATCCTGCAGTTTTGCTTGCGATGACGGGGCCACCTTTGAATGTACTGCATTTTGACTGGAAGCCTGAGGACTGCCTCGTGCCCTCGCGCAGCCCCTTTCCCCGTCCTGCGGCAGCCCAGTTGCTGGGATCAAATCATGAATGCCACCACGGGGAACTCCACCGCGGAAGGGCTCCCTGCATGTCCTCTTGCGCTAATCGGGGCCTGGACTCCTGCACCAGTCTAGCCGCCGGGTCCCCAGCGTGCGGGAGGCAGCCTCAGCCTCAATGGCCCCGAGTGGGGAGTCTGCAGTCCCACACAGCTGGGTCGGACCTGGATCAGCCACCTGTCCTCCTGATCGGCTTGGGCCGGCAAACCATTTCTGCTCTTCCTTCCATCCCCGGGGGTGATTTAAGCTGGGGTGCTTTAATGAAAATGACTAGCAATAGATCCAGGGCTGACAAACTCCTCTCACCCCCCCAGGCATCTTCACGCAGCTCTGTGCAGACTTACAAAACTCCCTGGTGCAAGACGCCGGCCGAACTGACTGTTCTAAATTGTCAGTCTAAATTCTAAATTTAGAACTGACTGGTCTAAATTGTCAGTCTAAATTCTAAATTTAGAACTGACTGGTCTAAATTGTCAGTCTAAATTTTATAATGTGCGTTTTAATTAAGATTATTTTATATGGATGTTTTAACTGATCGTTTTATCTATGTTGTAAGCCGCCCCGAGGCTTCAGCGAATGGGGCGGCATAAAAACGTTTTAATAAATCAATAAATAAAGTCTAAATTTAGAACTGACTGTTCTCAATTGTCAGTCTAAATGCTAAATTCAAATTCTGATTGTTCTAAATCGCTTTCAAAGAGAAAAGGAAACTGGGGGAAAACGATAACAAAAAGAGAGGGAGGAAGAAATGTGTTGCTTTGGGCTCCTCGGAGCAATAGGAGCACAACAAACAAGGAAGCACTCAAAGCTCTGCGTGGTCAAGATGCCTGACATCAAAGCAGAGCCTCCATGTTTAGCTGCAGTCTACCCACAAGTATCCGCCGTTAAGCCCCCATCCGGAAAAAAATAGGCCTGGGCCTGATCCAGCACTGTCACTTTAAGTTCCTCCCTCGTCAAGAACCACTGGATCGCAAATGTTGCTCCAAATATTTGAAGTGTAAGCAGAGCCACTGAAGGTGAAATGATCATGTTCGTGCTTTGGGGAAAGTAACTACAGGCCAAGCCACATGCAGCCCTTTCAAACCTGCGATTCTATGCCACACGCTACAGAATGTACCGTACTGCAAATAGCCATAGATAGGTAGACAGACAGGTGTGTGTGTGTGTGTGTGTGTGTGTTGCAACACTGCACAGTGCCATCTGTCTCTGCGTAAATTGCTGCCACACTTGTCAGCTTGTCACTGTGGATCATCTTGCGAACCAGTGTCGCTATTGAAAGCCAAGGGCCTTTTGCTCACTCTCCAAGTGGTATTTTGGGACTGGGTTGTACAGTGGCACCACTGCGGCTGGCCTTGGGCCCAGAGGAGATCCGGTGCCTGCAGTGTTTCAGCGCTTGGCATCCTACCGCGTGAGCCTGTGCTGTTGCCGGGATCGCGCGATACTTCTAGAGGCTCGATTTGCTCAGGATTGGGACTTCTGCCTTGCCCCCCCCACCCTGTCAAGGCTGTTCTTGAACAAAACCGAATCTTTCTTTTTCTCTCTTTTTTTTTAATGAGGGGATGGGCAGATGGAGGATACACTGCAAAAAAGCAGGCTGGATCTGAACTTGGCACTCCTGAGAGGGCGACCCACTAAATAAATGGAGCTTAGGTTACTTGTGGCGAACAGAAGCCATGACAATTTAACCCTCAGTGATCTGAATGGGTCTTCTCTAAACAGGGCTCAGTTCAGATCTGATCTGATTGTGCCTCTGCACTAGGATAGCAATGTGAAATAGCTTTAAAGTGGGATTAGGCATCGCCTTGGGGCAGGGGTCGGCAACCATTATTATTATTATTATTATTATTATTATTATTATTATTATTATAGCATTTCTATGCCGCCCCTTGCCGAAACCTCGGGGCGGCTTACAACATGTTCCTGCAGAAAAGAAAACACCACACAGGCAGCCACAAAACCCTTTTGACATCTCAAATGAAGATAATACTGCATATATTGTTTTTTACCTTGATGCTATGTATAGAAAGAAAAAGAAAGAAAAAAAAAGCAAAAGAAAGAAAAAAGCTATAGTGTGCTGCATGTATGAAATCAATGAACTGCTACAGAGAAAACCAATTTTTATTTCTGCGTGCAACAACAACATTTTGAACTTCGAACAAAAGATGCTGGGCTGAAGGTTACTTTCAAATAAAATAGTCCATATCTATTTGAGTCCTCCTCGTATTTATGAAATAAAAAGCCGAACTTAAATTATCCACCTGCAGCAAACCAAAACTGCCGCCTGCTTCTGTGTGCCCTCATCCTTTAGCATGGGTACCGGAGGGTGCAATCAGCTGTCAACCTGAAAAAAACAAAACAAAACTAACGGATACTTTCATACAGTAAGTAGAGTTTCTGCAATACAACAAAGATAAATAATAGTCTGGTGAAATACTGAACAAACATCCCTCTCCCAATGTGATAATGTTGCTGGAATTTTTATAAGCATCTTCTTAAAGCAAGGAAGTCGATCTATATCTCCATTATGCTTTAGCTGCGGCTCTTGTTCAGTCACTAAAAATTGTTATTTTTAATCATACGTTATAAACTAGTAGGACTCCTTTCATATGTTTTGAATAGAACAGCTTCCTGCAGGGTCAAAGTCAGTGCTAAAGGGCTGCATGCATTAAACAGCAAACCCCGTAAGTTCGTCAGCAGTAAAAGCAAATGGATCTACCCAGGTATCATTAAACCTTTGGTTTCCTTCAGAAACTTTTATTGTTTTTGATTTATCCATGGTTGGCCTGGGGGGGCACGGGGGCTCAGTAAATTGGCTCGGGGGTCACAGATATAGGTGTGTTTAGTGACTGCTTAGCAGATGAACAGTCCAGTGCTGTGAATTCTGACAGGTCCCAAGTGCAGCTTTTAACATTCAGAGGAAGGAGATGACATTGGGACAAAGAGGATCCTTTCAGCGGCGTTTGCATGAGAGCCTGCAGGAAGCTTGTCCCACTCTTTCCCTGCACACTGGCCCAGGAATGCCGCAACGCAATTTACTTAACCACGCAATTTACTGAACCCGATAGCTTGGCCTTCCCGAGTGGATGCCTCATCGTCACCTATTGGCGTTTTGTAACTCGGAGCCTCCTTGCAGATCTGTGGCTGGGCTTTTGAGCGACGGAGCTGTAGCGGAGTGCAGCTCTGGGGCCGTGGGTTGCCGACCCCTGCGTGTCTGAGATGTGCTGGCCGGGGGGAACTCCCAGACATGCCTCTCCGTGGAGACCAAACCTGAGAATCTGCACCGCAGCGATAAAGCGACCAAAACTTAGTTTCCAAGAAGGGGAAAAGCCGTCCCGTGGAAATCGGGCCCAGGTGCTGTGAAGCTCGCCCACCCTGCCACGGGGCCAGGCCAGTTGCTTCCGAAGCCCCAGCCCATCCAGACATCGTAATCTGGGATTAGCGGGCTGGTTCTTGCCTGCCCTTGGCTGAGCCGTCGTCGCTCCCAGCAGATCTTTCCCCTCCCTCGTGCCACAAGGTGGGGTGGGGTGACAGGATTTGTGGGCTGGCAGCCCCAAGCCCCAGGAGGGGAAGCGAGCTCCCACACACCCTCCGTTTCGCAACGCGGTTGCCAAGGCGCCCCCAGCGATCTGCGCTCGGAAGCGAGGAGAAGCCAGGCCGGAGTCCCCGCTCAGGCTGCTCCCCTCGCCCTTGGCCGAACCGCCGGAGGGGTCCCGGCAGCGCCCCCTTCCGCCCGAAGCCCTCCTGCATCACCCCAGCGTCTGTCTTTTTCTGCTCCCGTTCAGGGAGAAAGGAGAGAATAGCTCAGGGTGCCTTCTCAGGGATGAAGAGCCCGACCACGAGGCACCCCAGCCCGCTGCGGGGGCTGGTTCCGTGCAATTGCCCAGGCAGGATTCCAGGAGAAGAGGCAGGTGACGCTTCCGTGCTGCTGCTTCTGCCCCGCGTCCCCTTCCCGCAGGAAATCTGTTGGGGGGGGGAGGCGTGGCAGGGCCCCCATCCTGCCCCCCAGTGGGATGCGTCAGAAGCCCTCTGACTCTGCCCCCCAAGAAGGCCCGCTGGGCAGCCCTGCGTCGATTCAGAAGGGCGGAGGAGGTCACCACAGGCCAGGCAGCAGCACCCATCCATGAGCACCGAGAGAGGAGCATCCCCCCGTCCTTCCCCTCCCCACCCCCCACTCAAGGGATCCCGGGCCGGCTGGGCCACAGGCCCTCGGGGGACCCGTGTGGCGAGGGCCGAGGGCTGGGATGGCTGGGTGGCGGCGGGAGGTGGGTCGAGGGGTTTTCCCGGCGGCCCCGGTGGGCTTGTGCGGGGGGGGCGAGGTGGTCGGTACAGAGGGTGGAGGGGCAGGGGGAGTTCGGGCTGCGGTGCCCTGGCTGGCGGGTGATGGGATGTCCCAGGTGGACAGGCAGGCCGCCATGGCGTGTGGCTGGCTGGCTGGGGGGCCGCCGCCGCCGGAGGGGGGGCGCGGCTTGCCGGCCGGCCACCGTGTACTCGGCACAGCAACAGTCCACGAACCGCCTCCAGGCCCGATCCTTTAGGCGGAGCTTGCGGGAGAGCTTGAGCGAGCCGCTGGTCTCGTTCTCGTGCGACTTGAGCTTGGCGTAGTAGTCAGAGAACTTGTTGTAAAGGATGGATATCGGCATCCCGTTGAGGATGATGCCGAAAGAGATGCAGCCGAAGGCCACCATCCGGCCCAGCAGGGTATCCGGCACGGTGTCCCCGTAGCCCACGGTGGAGAGGCTGACCTGGAAGACAAGATGGGCCAGGTGAGAGCAGCCCACCCCCCATCGCGGCCATCGGGCAAAGCCCCTCTCCTCCTGCACGCGCCTAGTGAGAGCTCTGCCAAGCGAGGCGGGGCTGCTCCCGGCCAGCGATGGGCCTTCTTCTAAAAATAAAGGCTGCGGTCCTCCCAGAGCGGAAGAGATTTCAATATGCACGCGGGGGGTGGCCTTCTCTCAGGCCGAGCCATCAGCCTGGCCTGCCACTGGGGCCGTTTTGGCCCCTGCAGAGCGCGTGGCCGTGTATTCTTCCACCCTGGACCCGGCCAATGCTTCCCTGTGCTCCCGCAGCTCAGCCTCCGTCCCATCGGTGAGGCCAGGGTCCCTTTTCAGCCGCCCGTTTCCAGGAGACACCGAAGTTTGGATTTCCGCTGACCTCGGCCCGCCTGCACAAGCAATGCTCCATCACAAAGGCAAAGTCCACTCGGTGAGGGCCGTTCCCACTGGGCCAGGGGGTCTCCTGCTTGCCCCCTTCCCCGTGCCCCCCCCCCCGAACGAAGGCCCTCTTAGGAGCCGGTTTCCAGCATCTGCTGCTGGGGGAATTGCCCGGGTGTTTCAGGGACATCTGGTGCACCGGCAAGCCCAGAAGCTGGAGAGTTTCTAGGGGAAGCGCTGGAAGGGTCTCTGCTTGGGAGCAAAGCCTGCCACTCAGGCAGTTCCAGGCTGATCGCAGCCCCCAGATGGCCTGTCCTCATCTGCTCCCCGGAAAGCACCCGAGGGGCTGGCGAGGGCTGCGGGCCTGGCGGCTGTGCACCGCCTGGAGGAGGTTTCCTCAGAGGTGGCGAGCCGGCAAAGCGGGCCCAGCCACGGGCGGGTTCAGGGGCCAAGGGTGACAGCCCTCCACCGAAGCAGCCGGGGTCCCTTGCACAGGGGCAGCAGCCAGAGCCTCTCTCGAAAAGAGGCCTTGGGAGAAGCTCAGGCATCCGGCAGCGCGTGGAGCTGCATCAGCAGCCGCACCAATCCACAGCCGGCCACAACCGGGTCCAGCCAGAGCCTGCTCTCCTGGCGAACAACACAAAGCACTGTCCGCCTGCCTGGCTTCGTTAAGGATTAATTGGGTAGCTGGGCTCGTGGCTTGCTCCCTGGATGTCCTCTGGGACACCCCCGCCTGACCGGAAACTTTGGACCGTCACAGCCCACGGACAGGGCACTGCAGTATAGAAAGCAACTTCCTAGGCTCCCATCCAAAAGAGTCCCTTCTTCAGGACCATGGGGACTAGAACCTTTAGATGGGAGGGAACAACCACAGCTCAGCAGTGCAGTCCCTGCTCGGCATGCACTAAGTCCCAGATTCACTCTCAGCTCCATGGCCAGATAGGACTGTGGAAGGGACCCTGGAAAGCCCGCTTCCCCGTGCCCAGCATTAATGGACTCCCGGCTCCCAGTCCTTGGCTGATGGGCTGGGAATGACCAGGTCTAACGCCGGTCACCCAGCCACAGGTTTTGCCATCTCTGGTGCAGACCATGGCCTGCAAGTGGTGGGCCGGGGACCTCCTCTCAGCCTGAGGGCCAGCTGCGAACTCCAAGCAGCGCAGGGGGAAGCACTTTCAGGGTGGGCCAGACAGAAGATGAACAGACACGCCCGTCCGTGCGGCTCTTGGGTCTCTTTCTGCGAGCCATGGCGCCTCGGGAGAGCCAAGCTCACCACTCGGAAGGGGCAAAGTGGAGCAAAGGTTGGAAGATCACCATGGGATGCGCAACCTGGGGCATGGGGAAGCGCATGTCTGGCAGTCTGGGGACGCCAGGAGGGTGGCGCTGGCCCCCAGCTGCAGGCAGCCCGCCCTGCACGACCAGGCGCAGCCTGACCTAGAGGAAGCTGGTCCCAAGAGCCGGGCCAGCATCATGCAACGTACAGCAAAGGAGCCACTGCACGGTGGGGCTGGCCGATTAGGCCTTCCTGGAGCCTTGGGCTCAGCTCAAGAACGTTGCAGGCAAGCTGGAGGGGGTTCAGAGCCGGGCAAGGATGGTCTGGAGACTGGGAACAAAGCTCTGCGCAGCAAGATGAAGAGAGCTGGGGAAATTTCGCCCTGAGGAGAGAAGACTGAGGGGGCCCTCTGTCAGGACTTGAAAGGCTGCCACTTGGACTAAGGCCAGGCGCCCTTCTGGATCGTCCCTGAGGGCAGGCCATGGGACAGCAGGTTCGAAAGACAGGAAACCAGGTTCTGGCTGCACTCCAGAAAGAGCTTCCTGGCTGTTAGAGCAGAGCAACAGTGGAACCCAAGACCGAGGGAGGTGGTGGATCTCCCACCCTGCAGACATTCAGTCTGCAGCTACACAGGCCTCTGCCAGGGACGGGATCCTACACCGAGGAGGGGCTGGTCCCAGTGATCTCTAGGCCCCTCGCAACTGAGCCACCAATGGCAGGGGATAATAGGTCTGACTCAGGCCATAGCAGCCCATGATGTCTGTAGCCCAAGAGGCCACCCGGGACTGCTGGGTTGGCCCAAAGTGACCTCCTGGCTGCAGCCGCGGTCCGAACGAAGCCTCGGGCAAAAGGACGGGAGTCACTCACCGCTGCCCACCACCAGGCGTCAGGGATGCTGGTGAAGTTGGTGCCCGGGACGTCGTGCTCCACGGAGTGCATGAGGGCCGAGAAGGTGAAGACGCCCATGGCGATGAAGAGCAAGAGGCAGCACACCTGCTGGTAGCACTGCCGGACGGTGAAGCCGAAGGCCCGCAGCCCCGTGGAGTGCCGGGCCAGCTTGAGGATGCGGAAGATGCGCATCAGCTTGATGAGCTTGAGCACCTTGCCCAGCTTGCCCACGCTGCGCATCTTGTGCAGCTCCTCGTGGTAGTCGCCGTCCCCTTCGCCCAGGTTCTCGAAGAGGAGCTGGACGTAGAAGGGCAGGATGGCCACCAGGTCGATGGCGCTGAAGGCCGCCCGGAGGAACTGCCGCCAGGTGGCGGTGGAGACGAGCCGCATGAGGTACTCCAGTGTGAAGAAGACGGCACAGACGGTCTCCACCAGCTCCATGCACTTCTTGCTGGCCTTGTGCTGCATCTCCTCCACCGTGCTGAGCGTCATGCCCACAATGGAGACCAGGACGAAGACGCTGGACATGATAGCGATGATCTTGGCGGGGATGGAGGAGTACGGGTTCTCAATGAGGTTCCAGATGGCCTTGCGGAGCTCGCCGAGGAACTTCCCCTCAAAGTGCTCCTCCCGCTCCACTGGCTCCAGCTCAGCCTCCAGCTCCCGTTGGACCTTCAGGTACTCTGCCAGCTCGTCCTGCTTCTCCTCGAAGAGGATGCGACAGCACCTCTGGGCATACTTCAGGTGAACTCCCCAGTACTCGATCTCCTCCATGAAGTTGGCCGGGCACATCTCCCCCACAATCCACATCACCCCACTGCGGTAGAAGTGGAAGACATAGTGGAAGACGAGCGGGTCCCGGTCGAAGAAGTACTCATTCCCGGGCACCGAGTAGTCGTCGCAAAGAGCCATCTTCTTCACGGGGTCTGTGGAGAGGGCCAGCTGGCCAATCCGGGTGACAGGGTACTTGGCGGCAACTCGGCAGGCCATCTGGAAGCGCCTCCCCCCCACGTTGAGGTTCAGGATGTACTGGTCCCGCCGGAGCGGGGTGCTGTGGCGGTCCAGGCCCGTGTCCGTGATGTTGTGCATGGAGCCCCATTGCTTGACCAGGTGCTCCTGGGCAAACGGGATGTAGCCCTCCTCTTCCTTGGGGCTGAGGCAGCACCTCCGCGGGGCCCCAATTTTCAGGTTGGCTGAGAGACTTGCCCGCCTCCTCGTGGGGTGCCTCATCGCACCTTTGCCACACGCAGCCCCGAGCGAGGGACGGCCCGTCTGTTTGGGAGCGCGGTCCCCGAGGACGCGCGCAGACACGCACGCCAGATGCTTCCTCCTGCCCAGGAAGCAGGCACCCTGCCTGAGCTCGTGTGCCGTCAGCTGCTGAGCCCCTGCAAAGCCGATAGCCTCCCAGGTGGCAGCACCAGGCCTATCCGGAGGCGGCCACGCAGGAGCCTCTTAAAACATTAATAAGATTAGGTGGTTAACCTTTCAAGTTAAGAAGCTCTTTCTGGAGGTCAAGCCTTTGTTCGCTTCAACTTTCTGACGCCCGCCCACCTTCCTGATATTTCTCTGTTTATGACACTTCTATGCTGCCCTGTCGTCCAAGGGCTCTCTGGGCGGCTCAAAAAAAAACCCACCACCGATGAAACAGCAAATCGAATCAACAAATTAAAGAACCAGTCAATTCAAATGTCACGAAGTGTAGCAGCTCCTTCTCTCAAGGGCTTACATAGCTTGCCCCAACCTGGTACTTATATGTCCCTGGTATGGGATTTGCCCATCATAGCCAGAGATGGTGGGAGCTGCACCCTGACACAACTGAGGGCCCTAGCTTACATGGCCGTCTACACAAAAACTGTCGCTTCCTGCATGGGCCGTGGGGTGCCACATGGGGAGACGCACTGGGTGAGCAAGAATCTCCTGGCACATCCCGGAAAGCCCCGACCTCTCGGGAGACGGAGCAGCCCTTCTGGGAAGGACACCACCGTCTGGGCTCAAGGAAAGTTTTGCAGGTCGCGCTTTACTGTCCGAGAGTTGCTGATCTGGCCAAGGGAAACCGCACCCTGTAATGCATCCCCAAATACTCCCCGCCCCCCCCACGTGTTACTTTACCCCACAGCCAGACCTGGTCTGGAGCTGCTGAGGTCGAGGTTCCAGACAGTGAGCGTTCAGGGCAGAACCTGGGCTCAGAACCTGCTTTGGCTACACAGCCCCCCGGGGGCCCAGGACCATTCCTCTCCAGCTCCCTGGAATAAGAAGTCAGGGAGGGACCAGAGTGGGCTGAGCCAACTCCCTTGGAAGCAAGCTGGGCCCAGTGGACGAGGCAGTGCAAAGAAACAGGCGGACAAGCCGAGTCCAAAGGGCCGTTCGGAGGAACAACATCTCCACCCCTCGCCGTTGCCAGGCTTGCTCCGCACCGACGCTTCTGCACTGGAGCTTCTAGGCTTTTCGTGACAGGCTGCACAGTGCCCCAGCCATCGCTAACCCCACATCTTCCCGTTCCAAGACCGGCCACCGTGCGGCAGAGTAACTGCGGTCCAGCAGACCCCACGCCGCGAGGGTCCCTGCCGGGGTGCTTTCTCAGCCACAGGGAGATGCTGTGCAAAACTGGCTTGCGGTAAGACTGCCTCAGGGCAACGTGCTTTCATTCAGAAAGGCAAGCTTGAACAGAATGGAGCCGATCCCTGCCCTGGAAGTACAAGAGAGCAGTTGATTTTTCAAGAATCACTCAAAAAACAGAATTTGTGCATCCATGGAGGCAGCCGATTCATGGCTTTTATTAAAGCTTTCTCTGCAGGTGCAAAAACACTTGGGGGCTTAATTCTTGTTCTCCATTCCTTCTTTTGCAATGGTGGCCAATTTGCCAGGGCGCTGGACTCGGGGCCAGCAACTTGCTGCTAAGAAGCACTGGAGATTGAGAAGGCCAGAGCACCAGAAGAAAAGGAAGAGATGCTGAGAACACAAGATCTGGCAGCCCGGGAGGGACAGTTGCTGAGGGCGCCCCTGATAAAACCGAATGCAACAGATACGCTACAAGGACAGAACATCCCCCTGAAACAGCAAGAACTGAAATGGAGGGAACTTAAGGAAGGAGAGGAGGAAGGAGGAAGGCGTATGGAGTGTCGGAAGAGTGACAACTGCGGGGCTACTCTGGTGGGAGCCCTGGCTCCAATCCCCCCAAGCAGTCCAGTACAGCCCCTCTGTGGCCCCTTTAGCCAGGAACAAGGAACCCCACCCCGTCTGAGAGTGTCCTTTTCACTTTGACGTGTATCTCAAGTCCTTGACTGCAGGAGAAAGAAGTGCTGAGATTCTTCAGGTACCAAGCTGTCCTCGCTTCTTTGACGGCAGGGGAACCCCCGCTGCAGCAGGTGACCCTTCAGCGCTCCGCCACATGGCTGCCACCCAAAAAAGTCCCACCAGTTTTGTGCAGATGTCCCCAGGACTGTGAGGGGAGGCCCACGTGGCGAGTGGCAGGTCCCTGCAACAGAAGAACCGGATGAACTGGGGGGGAAGTCAGCCAGAATGAGCAATGGTGCGCGTACGACACGAGCGGTGTGTGTGTTTTTAAAAAGAGAGCGCACGCGCTGAGAACCGAGTTCTGCCTGGGGCTGCTTCCTCACCAGGCGGATGAGAATGTATGTGGGCAGGAGGCCAACACAATGTTGACATCTGCACTCTAGTCGCTGCAAAGACTGGATGCTGGGACTTGATGAATAAAAGTTGTGGGGAGTGGCCAAGTGGACAATGCAATGGGGACTGCCCCTTTGGGCAACAGCAGGGCCAGGGCGCACGGGGACACAGTGCCATAGCTTCTCGTTAGCAGGCATGCCGGTGCTGCCGGCCACCTGTCCCCACCCCGCCCCGGGTTCTGGCTGAGCTTAGCTGCAGTCCTCACTGGAGATGCAGAATATCTGGGGGCAACTGGGCTTGGAATTCAAACTCCTTCACTTTAGGAATCTACAGAATGATATGGGGTTTTATGGTATAGAAAATCAACTTGGATGCTGTGTTGCACTCCGTTTTACTGTAAGACCAGCCCGAGACCTCAGTAGTGGATGGTATATAAAAGATATGGACATAAATAAGCAACACACACAATCAGCCTTGGGGCCATTCTGGGGAAGGGGTGCCTAAAAACGGGGGGTGGGAAGCAGAACGCAGCATTGCTTCTGCCCAGCGTGGGGCTCCCGCTGCCTCTTGGATGGCTGGGCGGGCTGCTCCCAAGCTGACATCTGATGGTGGAAGAGGGGAAGGAGGACCTGGAGGGAAAGTGAGGCAAAGCTGAGGCTCCGTAGCGTGTCCCGGCCTGGCCATACCTCAGGGCTGCGCTTCCAGCATCAGTCGGTCCTTCACTTTATCTAGCATGAAGTAGGAGAACGGCTCCGCCTTGATAAAGGTCATCATAATTAAAACCACCAGCACAAGGGCTGTGGCAGCTGGAGAACAAAGCACAGGGGAGAGGGGGGGGTAAGTGTGGGCTTTGGTGCCCCCTCCACAGCAGCCCTTACAGGCATTGCCCCTGGACAGGCGTGGCCTCCTCTCCCATGGGGTGCCAAATCTGACCTGGCTGACGCCAGCTGCGGCCACAAACTCCACTCCTCAGCACTGCTGCACGTGTCCTGCATGCAAGTGAGGAACTTCCAGATGGCCACCGACCCGCCCTTTTCACCCAGTCGCTGATGCCTGGGCCATTTGCTGCCCCTGCAGGGTTTCCTGCGGCCTGTAAGGTTTGAAATGCCTTTCCAAAGCTAAATTATGAGCAGCAAGAGCTTTACGCTAAAACATGGGGCTATTTATGGTGTTTTGCGCCTCCCACGGTTTTGCCTTTGCTCACGCCCGTGGCCGGCACACAGTTCCCGAGAGCTTTTCTGCATTTCAGTGGAAAGACTCAGCAAACGGGCGCAAGGACGGCAGCCCCATCAATCGTGGTGGGTTCTACTTCCAAGTGAGCGTGAGCAGAACAGCCCCACACGTCCCACAGAAGATCCAGAGAAGTCATCCCACCGATTCAACTGGGCTGAATTGAATTTCAGAACAAACCTGTGCTACCGACTGTAAAATGGGATTACTCACCTAAGAGGGGCAATAACAAAATCTCAGCAATCGCAGTTTCCTTTTTATAACTAATTTCAGGGGCAACTGTACTCTCTGAGAATAGCAAAAGAGAAGGAAAAGCAAAATTCATTAAATCTAATACGCACAGAGATATACATTCATTTATACTGTATTAACCCTCGGGCTCATCTTGGATTGTGGGCAAATGAATCATGAACTATTACTTATTTTTATGGGCAAAATAAACTAATTCTGCCCATCTTTCTTGGCAGCAATCCAAACTCACAACGGAACCATAATGTAGGATATATTTTTCATAACCTGCTTTGGAATTTCTCTAAAAGATAAACACAGCTTTACAGGGGTTAAACCAAACCCTGTACCCTGTAAGGAGGGGAGGGACAGCATGGTCACCTCCGTGATGTCCAGAATTGTCTATGTGCATCTGGGGGATGAGTCTGGGGTTGCAGGAGGGATGCCTTGCAGAGTCCTGAGCGCATTCAGTGGCACATCTTCCCCAGGAGAAGCCCCTCCCCCCTGGGGGCTGATGAAAAACAGACCATATGCAAGAACTAAAGTGATTTCAAACGAAAGAGCTGGGGGATAAGCTGCTCTCAGCCAGATGGGGGGTGGAGGAGCAGGGCGGAGTGGTCCGAAAGACAGGAGCAAGCCACCTTCTCTGAACACCAGTTCAAGAACTGTACCATCAACAAACACCCAACTCCTTTGAAGCTGCCAAGACAGAGCGCAACAGGCCAGAGCTTTCCAAAGGTTTCTGAGGGGCGGCTTCCCCATCCCTAAGCAGTGATCCCGGTGGTCCTCAGTATGACTGCATCATAATCTCTTTTCTGCCGCAGTCCTTGCCCCAAGGATGAATGTTTGAGGGATTTCTGAGTTCACTAAGAAAGGGAGTGGCCACCAAGAAAAATTCTGGCTCCTGTCTCCTAGCTGAGTGGATCAGAAGAAGCTGTCCCAGCTGCTCTAGGGACTCTGGGATACAAGCAGCTGAGCTCCCAGGGAGAGAGTGACCAAAGAGAGCAAACAGGGAGAGCTAACAGGAGCTTAGTGAGGGAGATCCCTAATTTTTTGCTACTTCTTGTTTTCTTCTTTGTAGAACACTCCCTGTTTACTGATAGGCCTGTGCTGTTCATCTCAAGACAGGGGAAAGCACTGGTGGTTATAACAGGCCCAGCAACGAGAATCAAGACTGACAGATGATCCTTGACTATTTGTCTAACTGGAGTGAATGAGTTCAGATCTCCAGGACCTGACAGGTTTCACCCTGGAGTCACACAGGACCTGGTGGAAGAACTCTCAGAACGACCGTCCGTTATCTTTTTGAGAAATCATGGAGGATAGGCGAAGCGGCAGACGATTGGAGATGGGCTAATGTTGTCCCATCTCCAAGAAAGGAAAAGGAAGAAACTAGGAACTACTGATTAGTCAGTCTGACATCAAGCCCTGGGAAAATTCTGGAGCAATGGATACCCTCAAGAACAAATCCTGCCAGCCTAATCTGATTTCACCTTTCAATTAGGTAACCTCCCTGATGAACTGCGGGAATGCTGTGGACAGAATATATCTTGACTTCAGAAATAATATATCCAGACCTCAGAAAAGCTTGTGACAAAGTGCCCCGTGATCTCCTGATTCGCCAAATAGCTAAAGGTGGGCTTGAGCAATCAGGTAAATCTACAGTTGGCTACAGAATCAGACACAAAGCGTGTGCCTCCACAGCACTTTCTCAGACTGGGGAGAGGGAACAAGTGAGGTACCACAGGGTTCTGTGCTGGACCCAGTGTTCCTCAGAATTTCAATCACTGATTTGGATGAGGAAGGGCAAACGATGATCAGAACTGCAGACAACACAAAACTGGGTGGGATACTAATACCCTGGAAGACAGAAAGAAGAACTGGATAGGTTGGAGTGCTGGCCTGAAAACAACCGAACGAAACCCAACAGGGTCATATGCCAAGTTTGCACCTAGGAAAAGAAACCAAATGCAATGCTGCAAGATGGGGTATACTAGGCTCAACAGTATTGCAAATGAGAAGGATCTTGGAATTGTTGTAGATCACAAGCTGAATACGAATCAACAATGCGATGTGGCTGCAAAGGGGGCAAATGCTATTTTAGGCTGCATTAACAGAACTATCACTCACAAATCCCGCGAAGTACTAATTCCCTTTTACTCAGTACTGTTTGGGTCTCATCTGGAGGACTGTGCCCAGTTCTGGGCACCACAGGTTCAGAAAGATGCAGAGAAGCTGGAAAGTGAGGAGGGCGACAAGAGTAATCCAGGGACTGCAAACAAAGCACTATGAGGAGAGATTGAGAGGTCTGGGCATGTCTGGCCACAAGAAGAGACAAGTGAGGGGAGACAGGATAGCCTTCTTCAAGTAAGCAGAAAGGTAGTCACAAAGGAGAACGCCAGGATCCCTACTTGATCATCCCAGAGTCCAGGACACAGAATAACGTTACAGCAAGTGAGATTCTGGGTAGATATCAGGAAAAAAAATTCACTACTAGAGCAAGTACAACAGTGGAACCTGTGACCAATGGAATCGGCGGGCTTTCCCACAGTGCAAGAATTCGGGATGCAACTGGACAGCCATCTGAGCAGGATGGTTTAACTTGGCATCCTGTAATGGCAGGGGGTTGGACCAGATGGCTCCCTGGCCCCTTCCAAACTTACTACGCTATAATTCGATGAAAAGCCCCCGAAACAGATGTCCCCTCCCCCACAACCTGTGTGGTTTGCGTCTGGTGGCTGCGAAGTCTCTGGTGACACATCTGAGCTGCACCCCCGCTCATCTCGCTCATCCAAACAGTCCGCGTGGCCGTCGCACACCCACGCCAGGGTGTAACAGGGGGAGCCGGGGGCGCATCGGAAGTAGCCCGCCGGGCACGCTGCGGAAAGAGCCGTCGGGTGACCGCAGGCATCTGCTGACTCATCCGAGCCGTCCAGGCAGTCCCGGTGGCCGTCGCAGAACCGCTCCCAGGGCAGGCAGGGACCTCCGGCACCACACTGCTTCCCACGGCGCCCGCACGAGACGTTTCCCTTGTGACAGCTGCGCTCGTCGCTGCCGTCCTTGCAGTCAGGCTGTCCATCACACCGTGAGCACAGTGGCACCTGGCTGCCCTCTAGGCACTGGAAGCGTCCAAGGCTGCACAGGAACGATCCTGCAAAGAGGGAGGAAGGAAAGCATGGGAGACGGGCAGGCTGGCAGAATACTCCAGGGCCAACTGGTATCATCCAGGCCCATTCTTTGACAGGACCACTCAATGCCACTTCTGGTCAACTTCTTCTTCCTTCTCTTTCTCCTCCTATATTTTTATTTTATACTGATCATTTTAATTTTGTATTTGTAAATCAACGTATTTTTTGTATTTTTATATTTAATGGTAATTTATTATGTACTATTGTATTTCAATGTATTTTATCATGTTGTAAGCCGCCCCGAGGTTTCGGCAAGGGGCGGCATAGAAATGTTATAATAATAATAACTTGATATTGCTCTGGGTTGCTCTTGAAATTCAGTCCGCCCTGGACTTCCAAAGAAAGGGCTCCAGAAATGGTTCACCCTTTACACCAGGGCAGGACTCTGAACCTCCATCTCTACCCTGAGCGTGACCCCCCAACCACTAGCGGGAAAGCACTGAGAATTGCAACCTCACCAGGGAGCCCAGTTGGGAGAGGCTGAAGTTTTGTCCGTTGGCATTGACTCACAGTCAGTGTGCAACGAGATCCTGAGAGTCACATCACCTTGTGGCTAGTGTCAGATTCCTATTCTAATTCTTACTCTTACTCCTATTCTAATTCTTACACAAGAATTAGCCTGGTGATCAGGCTAATCACCAACTCTCAGCCTCACCTACCTCTCAGGGTCGTTGTTGTGAAGATAAAGGGGTAGCGAAGGAAGACTACAGAAGCTCATTTGGGTCCCTTGCAAGAGGAGAAAAAGTGGGATGTCAGGATGGTTTGTGGGAGGTGTGCCATGTAATCTCACTGCTTAAGGTCTTGTTGTTAGGCAAAATGGCCTGTAAAACACAACAGCTGCAGTGTTCTTATTTCCAAACCAAGAGACCATCAAAGCAGCACTCTGACCAGGGAGCTGACCTTTTATCCTGTCTGTTCTTCCCAGAAGAAGTACCCGCAAGAAGTTCCTGCATCTGATCTTTCTGCTTATGATACAACCTTTTGTATTTATTTATTTTATTCGTTGGCCAGGGCGACTTATTTTATACTGTTAACTTGTTTTATATTGTTAATTTATAGTATTTTAATCGATTTATTTGTAAGCCGCCCCGAGGCTTCGGCGAATGGGGAGGCATAGAAATTTTCCAAATAAAATAAAAAATAAAATAAACCTCCTGGGTCTTTTCCCTTTGGTTAATACAAAGGTCTTCTGAGCATCGAATGAGAGACTGAAAGGACAGCCCTTGCAGCCCAAAGGTCATCAGCTTAAGTGAGGGATCCTTACTCCTTTAAGTGTGCGATGCTATGCTAAGTCATGCAGAGTCTTAGCTCTGGGTCAGTTCATGCAAGATCAGGTTAAGGATGTTATAACCTGCCAGTTGTAGTCAACTCTAAGAAACTCAGAGGTAAATTAACTATCACCCCAACAAACAACCTACAAAGACAGCATTGTCTGAGTTGTTTCTAAAAGTGAATTTTTAGCCTTGCATGGAATTTTCTGTAAGACTTCGTGCAACTTTACTTGGGTACACATGCTTGTGTTTTTGCTTATCCTGGAGCCTGATTTTAACTGAGGACTTAGCTGTACAAAGATTAAGTGAAGTGAGAAACACTGAAGGAATGCCATAATGGCCGATTATGTACAAATGACAAGTTTCTTGGCAGGAAAAAGTATGTCAGCTGACCGAACTAACCAACAGAAAAGTTCAGAAGTGCCTGATTTGGGTAGGAATATCCCAAATGCCAGTATGAAATAGTGATTAGGGGGTCAAATCTCCACAAACCCTGACCTTTCATGCTGTGATGATTCAATGGCTGGGATGGGGAGATTACGAGTACCCAGGCTGCATTGAGCTACTCAGAGAAAAGATGGCATGTAAAATAGGGAGGTGAAGGCCATGGGCAAACATTCGGAAAACATTATTTTTCCTCCAAAAATTCTCCAGTTTCTTTCCAGATAGTCACATCTCTACTACACAAGTAGTGGAGTAACGGGTGCAAGTAATGGATAAATAACAGAGGAGTGCAAACAGTGAGTATATAATGCATAATCCAAGAAAATCCAAAACTGCATCTGTATCAAGTGCCTCTCCACTGCTGTAAATGGCTGGGAGGACCCTCTGGATTTGATCTAGAGCATGACTGAATACAGAGCAGGATCAGCCGAAGCCACATTCCACCTGGGGCACACCCAACCGTGCAGGTGCCTTTGGATCAGGCCCATCCCTCTCTCCATAGGTCATCTTGCAAAGTGCCATATGCATACACACAGCTGTGTAAGGAAACTGCCTCTCACAGTACTGCTACTAATGATAATCAGCGTTGTATGTGGGTTGTACTTGCATCCTGTCCCTGACAGCCAGTGAATCCATCTGTGCAGAAAACTCTGAAATACAGGAAATTTGTTGTGCAAACACTGGACTGGGGAGATCCTGATTCAGATCCTCACAGGGCTTGCAGATGACTTCGGGTCAGTCCCTCTCTCTCAGCCTCAGCTCCCTCAAAGAATACAAAGGAGGGGGAATCAGGGAAGCAACCCTGAGCTTCTGAGGATGTCATTGTGATAAGCTTTCCGTTTGTCTCCAACAGGGTCTCCCCATGGCATCGATGCATCAGGTACCTGGCAATTATCCGCTGCCCATCCTTTTCCTGCCCACTTTTTCTCAAGTAAGCCTTGCCTTCTGAAGATGTGCTCAAAGTTAACTGTTATAATAGTTTCCCTTCTTTCAAATCCTGTGGCATGCAATCCTATGCAAGTCTAGTCCAAAAAGAAGCCAGTGTGCCCCGGTGGCAGGACTTTTCTCCTCTATCCTGCAAGGCTACTAGAGAATGGTGGAACTGGCGGGAATTTTCCACTCCATACTTGCTCTGGACAGTTGGAAAATATAGGGCTTCTCTGACTAAATTCACACAGGACTGCACCTTTACTGCATTTTAAATTTTTTGCATTGTTCCCAGGTTTCCTGTGGCTTTTACTCCTATTTAAGACTATTTAAGTATTTTGTGCTATATTTATGGTTTTAATTATTGTGAACTCTCCAGAAAGTTCCAGCTATTTGTTAAAACCGAATGTAATAAATGAACAATTTTCTATAATTTTATGGCATTTTAATGTTTTATTGTTTTACTCAACTGGGTCTGTTTGTATAATAAGCTGCCTTGAATGCTGGATTTTGAAGCAGCTCTTTTGTACCAATTTCATAGTATTTTTGTGTTTGCAAGTGCATATATAGTTTTTGTCCGTTTTTTGACTTTTCTAAACTGCTTTGGGATCTGAAGCAAATGAGCAAGGCTACATAAACATGCCAGTGTTGCCGTCTGGTCCACAATTGATGGATGAGTTTCAGTTGCTGCGGCCTGATGATGTGGACAAGGTGCTTGGACGAGTACATCCCACCACCTGCTGACTGGATGCGTGCCCATCTTGGCTACTCAAGAAAGCTAAGGGCGGGATTGGGACCTGGATCCTGGAGGTCGTCGACGCCTCTCTGAGGGACGGCCGGGTACCTGCCCCTTTAAAGGAGGCAGTAGTCTGGCCAGTCCTAAAGGAGGCATCCCTGGATCTGGAGGTGGCCGCCAATTATAGACCGGTGGCCAACATCCCGTTCCTGGGCAAGGTGTTGGAGCGGGTGGTGGCGGGACAACTCCAAGCACTCTTGGATGAAACTGATTATCTGGACCCATTTCAGTCTGGCTTCAGACCCGGGTACAGTACTGAATCTGCCTTGGTCGCCCTGTACGATGACCTGTGCAGGGAGAAGGACAGGGGGAGTGCGTCCCTGTTGGTTCTCCTGGACCTCGCAGGGGCGTTCGATACCATCGGCCATGGTATCCTTCTGGATAGGCTTGCGGGATTGGGGGTCGGAGGCACTGCTTGGCAGTGGTTCCGCTCCTATCTCAATGGCCAATTCCAGAAGGTGGTGCTGGGGGACTATGGCTCTGCGCCATGGCAACTATGCCATGGAGTACCACAGGGGTCCATTTTGTCCCCTTTGCTGTTCAACATCTACATGAAACCGCTGGGAGAGGTCATCAGGAGGTGTGGGCTGCGGAGTCATCAGTACGCTGATGATACCCAGCTCTACCTCTTGTTCTCAACTAATCCAGGTGAGGCGGTGGCTGTACTGAACCGGTGCCTGGCTGAGGTTATGGGCTGGATGAGGGCCAATAAACTGAGGTTCAATCCAGACAAGACGGAGGTCCTGTTGGTAGGTGGGTCAGGCTTTGGGATGGGGGACCTTGTCCTGAACGGGGTTGCAATGCCTCTGAGGGACAGGGTCCGCAGCTTGGGAGTGCTCCTCGACCCAGAGCTGTCATTGGAAGCTCAGGTAACAGCGGTGGCAAGGAGCGCCTTCCTTCAGCTTCGGCTGATCCATCAGCTGCGTCCCTACCTGGAGAACGACTGCCTGGCGACTGTGACACACGCGTTGGTGACTTCCCGACTAGATTTCTGTAACGCGCTCTACGTGGGGCTGCCCTTGAAGACGGTCCGGATACTTCAATTGGTGCAGAATAGAGCTGCCAGGTTGCTGACAGGGACTGGGCGTTGTTCTCATATAACCCCAGTTCTCTGTCAGCTTCACTGGCTCCCCACTGAAGTCCGGGCCCAACTCAGGGTGTTGGTTATCACCTGTAAAGCCCTCAACAGCTTGGGACCTGGTTACCTGAAGGAGCGCTTACATCCATATATGCCCGCCCGCCGCCTGAGATCAGCGGGAGAGGCCCTTCTCCGGGAACCCTCCGTGAAGGAAATTAGGAGGATAGGTATTCGGAGGAGGGCCTTCTCTGCGGTGGCACCCCACCTATGGAATGCGCTCCCCAGAGAGGTCCGCCTGGCGCCGTCGTTATTTGTTTTTCAGCGCCAAGACCTTTTTATTTAAACGATATTTTAATTGTTAATCTGTGTTTTATTTAATGGTTTTAAACTATTGCCGAGATGCTCCAAATTTGTAATGTTATTCCATGTTATTTATCTTCTTTGTAAGCCACCCCGAGGCTTTCTGCCATGGGGGCAGCATAAAAATGCTATATATATATATATATATATATATATATAAAAATGCTAACAAGCCAACTCCCAGCTGAGCATCACTGTGATCTGATCCACCTGCATGATTAAAGCAGGCATAGCAAACCTGGCTTCAGAGGCTTACACCGCTGCAAAGCCTCCTGCATAATCTGTATAGGCCAGTCACGATGTCTGCCTCACAGGGTTGTTGTGCAGGCAAAGGCAAATAAAACATGCCATTAACAACCCAGTGACCATTGCCGTACTCTACAGCATGAACGTTTAAATGCTTCAATTTGAAGCAATTATTTTAGAAACCAAAATCGCAGGGCAAATGCGAGATTAGGTATTTCCGTGCTGCCCCCACACCACGCTAGCGGGCCCCGTCGCCATAGCAACCGGACAGGCCCCCTCTACGCGGCGGCGCGCGGGCCCGGCGGCGCGCGAGGCCAATCGGGGCGCGCGCCGAACGCCACCGCCCGCTGAGCGGCTCCAGCCGGGATCGGCATGGCGGGGCGGGGCGGGGCGGGGCTCGTGCAGGCGCGCGCGCCCAATCGGCGCCCGCGGGGGGCGCGGCTTCGGCGAGCCCACGTGCGGGTCGCGTCCTCTTCCCCCCCCTCCGGCCCCTTCCCAGCGGTTCTCACCCGTCTCCGCAGCCCCGAGTCCCCGGGGCACCGCCAGCTCTAGCAGCAGGAGCCACGCAAAGAAAAGGAGCCGCTCCATACCGCCGCTCGCGCCTTGACCGCTGCGACGGCCCAGGACAGCCGCACTGAAGCGGCGCCTGCCCCTAAAAAAAAAAAAAAACGCCCCCCCCGCGCAGGCGCACCACGCTGGGAGTGACGTCAACCGGCCGGACCGACTATTTTCCCGCTCCGCAGCCGCGCATGCGCAGTCAGCCCCTCCGCCAGCGCCATCGCTGCAGCGCGCCCCCTGCGCCGTGGCTGGAAGTGGGGCCCCTTGCTTTCCACTTGCGCTTAGGGGCCCGGTGGGCTGCACCGTGCATAGGCTTTCTGAACTATGCGGGCGGGCGGCTGCCAGCTTTGGACTCCCACTCCCAGAAGCCCCAGTGGGTTTCTGGGAGTGGGTTCAACCAAGTCTGTCCCGGGATCCGGCCTAACGTTGGCCAGGGATCCTGCAGAGCCAGCCTCGAGTCCCCACTCGGCTGTTGAGAGACACCCGGGGCCTCTTGGCCTACTTCGCAGGGCTGTGGGAAGGACAACATGGGGAGGAGGCGTGTGTAAACCGCTTCAGCTTCCCTGCAGGGGAAGACCAGGCGGGCTATAAATGCAATAAACAAATACATGGACAGCATTTTGGAAGGTCAAGACGACATGAACCCTCCATGGCAAAGAGCAGAGGCAACTGCTTTGTGGACAAATGGCGACTTGGGTCTCTCTCCGGCCATTCCACCCAATACCCTCAAACAGTATTTTGTAAATACTGCAAATACTGCAAACAGTATTTACTGGTAAAACAAAGAGGAGGGGCATTTCAGCCACCTCTGGTTCCTTGGGAGCGGGAATAAGGCATAATAGAAGCGTAAAACATCCAGTTTGTTCACGCCATTGCCTTTCTGTGGTGGGAAACTTCCGTTGTCCGCTCACCTGAAAACCTATTTACCAACTGGTATCTTTGCGCGCGTAGGTGAAACGTGTGGCTTTATACACACAATCCATTCACTTTTTGTCCTTGAATTAATCGCACACAAATTCCAGCGGGCTCCAGAACGTCTTGAGGAGGATCACAGGTTATCACAGCAACAGTTCGCTGGTGAGAGTGATTATGAAGGCAGGTAGGGAGGGGTGGAAATATGACCAACGGCTTTACGAATGTTGGCATTGGGCCCAGCCCTGGCTTTGCCCATTGGGCCAATATCTTGACTCGGTAACAGGCTGTGGGTACCTTGACCAGCAAGGCAGTAAGAGAAATGGCTTAAAATGTGGTTATATAAATATCTCACTATACGAAAGCTGGGCAGTGAAGAAACCTGATGGGAAGAAAATGGATGCATTTGAAATACGGTGTTGGAGGAGAGCTTTGTGAATACTCTGGTCCCACAGAAAGAAACTGCGTCCTAGATCGATCAAGCCAATCAATCAATCAATCAGGTTGTTTGCCTGGAAACCACCACAGAACTGAAGGTAGTGTACTTAGGCACGTCATGAGAAGGCAAGGCTCCATAAAGATGATTGTGCTAAGCGGAGTCGGAAGAAGAAAGGCTAAAGAAGGAAGATTTAATGGTAATTTATTATGTACTATTGTATTTCAATGTATTTTATCATGTTGTAAGCCGCCCCGAGGTTTCGGCAAGGGGCGGCATAGAAATGTTATAATAATAATAATAATAATAATAAGAAGAAGAAGAAGAAGAAGAAGATCACCAAATATGAGAGGGATCAATTCCATAAAGGAAGCCACAGCATTCCCTGAGCTGAGCTGAGGAGAACAGAACATTCATTCCTTTATGGGGCTGCCATAAGCTAAAAAACAGCAAGCTGGCACAGAAAAGCAACACTATGAAGCGGGCAGCTAAGCACCAGGAACTTTTACTTCTTTAAATGGCTGCCCCAAAGTTTGGCCAAGGAACAGAACGTGCGCCGCAGCCTTTCCCAGCCTGGTGCTCTTCAGAAGGTTTGAGCTTCAAGCCCCGGCCAGGATGGCCAATTTGATACAGAACGCTGGAAGTCGTCGCTCGAAATATCTTGAGGGCTCCAAGCTGGAGATGCATGACACACGCTTTCTTTCCTCGGCTCAAATTTTATCCTGACAGGAACTCTGTGAAATCAGTTCAGCAGAGAGATGGCAACTGGCCCAAGGTGGCCCAGTGAGCTCCATGCCCGAGGGCACACTTGAACCCAGGGTCCTGTAGCCCTAACTCAACCAAAGCCACTGCAATGCATTGCTTAGGCTGTCACCAAGGGCCAGCTTTCCCCTTACCAAAAATAGCTTGCATTGTCAAAAGTCCCTGGACCTTGCATGGCGGGCCGTCATTTTGGCCTGCTTTACTTGCCAGGGTTGGTCTCAGAAAGATAGCGTCGAAATACAATAAAGAAACAAACACAAGCGTCAGCCATTCCCTTGTGTTCCCTGTTTGGGGCTGGCGAAGATCAAAGGAATTCTCATTAGCTTGCAAGACTATTAAGTATTTGCTCATCGTTGGTGATTGGTTGCTGACCAGATACAGGCAGGCAACATTCAGCAGCTGCTCGGCTAGCATTTCTGATTCCAGAGCTGACTCGCTGAAGCTTCGGCAAGGGGCGGCATAGAAATGTTATAATAATAATAATAATAATAATCCACTCCTCAGCATGGTGAACATAGGTGAGCATTCACAAAAGCAGAGGAGGAGACGGTTTGCCAGTGCCACAGGCACTAAATGTGAAATGGAACTTGCAAAATATCCTGTGCTGGTCTCCTTTCAAGACCAAATTAGTTTCTGGTTGAATGGATGTTGGATTTGATTAGGCAGGGCCCTGGTTACGTTCCCCAAAAATCCAGTGTTTAGACAACTTCTGAGCCTAACTCCTGGGACTTCCCCACACATAGCAAGGCCTAGCAAGCCACAAGAATTGCACACCGATCCAAACTAAGTCAGGGAGCAATTTTATTTAAGTGGCTCAGCACCAACTACACTGTCTTTGTTACCAGAAATCCTTCTGCACGGGGTTACCTCACTGCTGGACCAATCTGGATGCTCCATACACACGGCAGCCTTGAGGAACCATACCCAGTTCATAAATATGGTTCATCCTTCGACAGTTCCCATTTTCGAGGAGGAAAACCTGGCGTCACTGGTTTCTTCTCCACTGTTGCTATGGAAGATTCCGAGCTGAAGAGTTAGAAATGGAAGATGAAGAGGGAATCTCACAAGGGGCAAAATGTGCATGAGAAATCAAAGATGACAACTAAACAAAGATGAGAACTAGGATTCCTTGTATGTTCAGTGTACTCCACAGTAAAACAAGGGGTTTTCTTCTAAAAGAAGTTAGAAGATTGTCAACTTTATTGAGATGGGTGGGCAACCCATGATTGATGACCTACATTTAAAAGCCCTCCACAAACTACAGTTTGCAGACTGCTAATAAAAGTGATTACTCCTGGAGGTCAAATGTGGTTTTACACAGAGAAGATTAACAATACTTAGAGGTTATGCAGAACCCCAATGAACAGAAGCTCAATTAGAATTAGAAAAACCACACATTAGGAATAGAAGCACTAGGTCCAGGCAGTCACCAGAAAATATTAGAAAGCAGATGTTTCCCTTCAGAAAATGAAGGCAACAGACACTGAATAAATAAATACAATTATATTTCTTAAAAACCAGAAAAAAAAGCAATTCATTTGGAGTTTGAATCAGTTAATAGCTCCTAAAGTAACTAAACGAAGTGCCAGAAGACGATTTCTCAAGAATCTCTCTGAAAATTAACTTCTGGCTAAGCAACAATTAACTTTTAATCAAACAATTAAGTGGCTTAGGTCAGTTTAGCTCTCCACAGTTTCGCTACAGGATCAAGGTGGCAGATTCTACCTGGCTGCTTGCATTCCAGGGGCCAATGTTTTCTGCGGTGACACAAGGACGACAGGAGGGAAAGTCTCTCGGCGGCCATCACGTGTACAGTAATAATTGTTCGCAAACTTATGACTGGGGCCTACAGGGAGGCATGGTGGTGGTTGAGTCCTAAAGAACAAGGACATTAAGAATGTCAGACGTTTGGAAAACCCACCCAAAAGTGGCTACTCTGACAAGTCACAGGGAAGTGTCCAGATTGCAACCCTCAGGTTTGCTCTGCTTTGTTATCCTGCTGGGGCAGCATATTGTGCCGATATTATTATTATTATTATTATTATTATTATTATTATTATTA